CTCTTTGCTAGTTACCAATCTTGCGCAATGCAAAGTTTTATTCATCGAAAAGTAGCACGGGGTTCAGAACAGTTATATTCTGAATTCGATTCATTGGCTATTTTGCACCTTGAAAGAGGAGTGAGAGACGTAATTGGTTATTGTTTTCATCCGTGAAAATTACTCTTGTTTTCCAGACAAAAATCTTCTTGGATTCAGATTCTCTGCAAAAGTTGACACTTGATTTCTCTATGTTACATTGTAAGAAAACAAAAGTTTGTTGCTATGGAAACTAATTTGTGATGACTATCATTATCTATGTATTATTATGTTTTCACTTGATTCTTGTATCACAAGTTTTATGTAACATATTTTTTTCCACCATTTCATTTTGATCTCTTGAAACTTTTGGTAATATTTTGATGAATCATAAATTCCAATACCATTATTCAGATGAAATATTAAGTATTTGGTATTAGATTCCATTCACACATATATATGTGCATCACAGATTCAAGTGGTCCATTTTAAGGTAGGATTCAGGATAGAAGGATCAAAAAACATTTAGCAATGATATAATGCAAAGCTGGCAGCATTTTGGAGAGTTTACTTGGTTAATAATATTTTTGATAATGGTGTTACTTTAATTGCATACCAATAGACCTTTTGACACAAAATACACATCATTCTTTCACCCATTGATTTCAAGTCCTTATTAATTTGGCTTTTTTAATACAATTACCACTATGACAGGTGCTACTGGTGAGGTGAGGATATGTTAATAAGAGAATGTCCTGTAGTCCACTAAGTTAGAGCTTTGGAATCTTGACATAATTTGTTTGGTTACATTTATGGTTTGTTTACCTGGAATAAGTCACCTCAACTTTAGTCGTCTCAGTAGTAAATAGGTATAATACAGATAATCTGGGACAGATTATTATCAAGAGGATTGGCCAAGGACCAGATGGTAGAAAGGATTCTTGAGAGACTTAGTTATAATTCTTGTAAAATATTATTTCTGTTTCTATTGATCCCAATTGATCACTTCATTGCACATGGTCCGAATAAAATATTTATTTTCCTTATGTGAATTAAACTGATGATTTGTAGAGGAACTAGGGTGGCTCAGTTAGTTTAGTTCAGTGTTAGGGCCAGGGTTCTATGAAAATATGACCCGTAGATTTTATTAATCCAACTTCTATCTTAATGAGTACATTCAGGAACTAAAATTTTATATTTATCATGTGAATCAAGCATTCCTCCAATGGGATGTAATTGCTTTGCATGGCTTTTTCTATCCCAGGAATGGAAAACAGGAACCATTTCTCTGACAATTGATTTATGTCAAGTATGATTTGAGATATCGAAGAGTGACATAATAATATTCTAATAAATAAACTCTTGAGAAATAGCAGATGTGGTAATTTGTAATAATGGAGGCCTCTAAAATGAATATTGTCTTTTTTCGGTTAAGTATGGATCACCTAATTGAATTTTTTGAATGCTAAAATAACAAGATTGATTTATATTAGCCATATTGACCTTGCAGAAAAGAATGCAGGATTGATAAAACAATAGTGTATTTAGGGCTTGTGAAAGGTCTCAATTTCTGAAAGTGAAAATTAAGCCCTCTGACTGCTCAAAATTAATCACAGGCCATCTGAAATTTGTAGCCTTCTGAAGCCTCTGGCAGATTCCCATGAAGGCCTCTGGCATACCCCCAGCCTCAAGGGTCTTTAGTCTCAAGAGAAATTTCTCATTTTTGCAGCCCCCCTCCCTCCATCAGGCTTTTTCAAGATACTCCCCAGACAAAACTAGTCACAAATGTTAAAAGAATGCTAGGCTTATAAAACTGTTCACAAATGAGAAATGGATGCCTATATACTGAAATTTTGTGCTATTTTAAAATCCGTATAACATCCGTGAGTACAAAATAATGCTCAGTTTTCTATCAGTCTGTATTACCTTTGTGTGTACACACAATATGGATTGTGGACAATGGAGTAACTAGAGATAGATGAAGCGATTTTTTCTCGTTTACGGATGTGTACTACGCTTGCGCAACTATGAAAAATAAGGAGTCTGAATCTATATCAATCAGGTTGTAGAATGTCATTGAGGACAGTCTTGCCCTTCCGGCATATGCATGTATTACAGAAAAATCTACAAATTTGATGTCCCAATGAAGGCATCAGAGGACAAATCCAGCAAATGAAATGATTTCACAGTACATGTTTATATAATGAATATGATACATTGTTTATTTAATACATGTAGTAATTTGATGAAAATATCTCAGTCTAATCTTAAAGAGATGATTTTTTATCCTTCACTCATATCCTGAAACTTTTTATGTAAAAATATTTTGAATAAACATATAGTTGAATATTCAAAAGTAATTGATATGTATAGTTATTGTAATGAATAAAACGCTTTAACAGTTTGTGAAGAAAATCAAAGCCATCATATCATTCAAATACAAAAGAATATAGTCTTCTTAACATGTGCATGCTTTACCAGCTGATAAAGAAATAGTGATAATCTGAAAAGTGATAAGTTTTTTTTTGGAATTGAGGTTATGAAGTAAACATAAATATAAGTAAAAAGAAAGGTTTTATTCGGCTATGTTTCTTTAAAAGTAAGCTCATTTGACCTATTTGACTATATAATTTACTAAAATTTTATTTTATATTACACAAACAGGAAGACTTTGACATAAACATGTCTTAACGACGGTGGGTATACCAATTCAAGATTAATTTATATTCACAGATTGACCTGGATAAAGTGTCTAGTCATTCAGATAGGACATAAGCCAGATACCCTGGATCAATCGACAGTTAAGAAATTCAGAAAGTTTAAGAAAATTACAAAAAGTTGTTATGTAAAATTGGGTACAATAAGCAAGCTTCAAATATTTTTGTATATATTGTCAAATAATTGGTGTTTTTTCCATTAAGTTCACTGGTGGAGTTTATTCTATTTTCTGTTAAAGATAATTTTCATGAAGATTTTTTAAAAATAGTGGTCCATTTCTTAAAGTTGTATATCTGCAATTAAACTGTTGTATATATGTTTCAAAACATACATTACCAATTCAATACATACACATTCCTTTGTTAATATTTATTTAGAATTTTAAAAGAATTAGTAGACCATGTCCCTTTAATGGAGATAAGAATATCACATTGGTTAAAAAAACTTGAATATTTGAAATAAGAAAATCTTAAAATTATACCGGATTCATATATTCAAAAGCCACCAGATCAAAAGCTGAATTTCAAAGAAGCATACTGATAACATTTTTGAAAAACCTAATGGACTTTTCAAACAAAAATATTTGGAAATTGAATGTATGGCGTATTTTTTTATTCAGATTTTTTTTTTCAAGAACTTAAAAGAGGTTAATCCATCTATCTATTATTAGAACACGCAAAACTTTTATTCAAATTATTTCCATTAATGCGTAGACAGATTTAATACTTGCACATTTCAGAAGCTTACAAGCTGATTTTGTTCACTATTGTTGTTCTACAATGATGGCTTTAATCCTAAATAATGATTACTAATTACTCCAAAGGATTAGTTAAATCACTTTCACTCTCATGAAAAGACACACATGGATTTGAAGGCTCACATTTTGACGGTGAGCTGTTTCTAAGGTACATTAATGGCCAATGGCGAACCTGTCTCTTTAATTTACATGTTTATATTATGTGCTATAGGCTTTGCAGAGATAATCTGAAAAAATATCTGTTGATACTGTCCTGGCAACATTTCTAGTATTGAACTCTTTCTTTTATATGTATATTCAAATATAGACTATTTTCTGAACCAGTCTTAAAGTTGGATTGTCTTGTATTGCATTTTTATCTTGAACTCATTCATTTCTATACATCTAAATATAGATTATTTTCTGAACCAGTTTTAAAGTTGGATTGCCTTGTATTGCAGTTTTTATCTTGAACTCATTCATTTCTATACATCTAAATATAGATTATTTTCTGAACCAGTCTTAAAGTTGGATTATCTTGTATTGCGTTTTTATCTTGAACTCATTCATTTCTATGCATTTAAATATAGATTATTTTCTGAACCAGTCTTAAAGTTGGATTGTCCTGAATTGCATTTTTATAATTGAACTTATTCATTTTTATCTATCTAAATAGATAATTATAAAGATGGGTTGTCTTGTATTGGATTTCATTCATTGAACTTGAATGTATCCAAATATAGGTTATTTTGTGAACCAATCTTTGGTTGGATTGTCCTGTGTTTCTAAAATTTTACCTTATTTTAGTTTTTAAATTACATAATAAAATGTCATCTACTGCCGTTAAGGTAAGCAAATTTTTACGGCCAAAAGTTTAATTAGTCATGAAACTTATTTGAATCACAAATATCAAAAATCTGTGGTTAGCTCGAATTGGACTTTGATCCTAGGAACATATATAATGTATTTTGAGTAGCTCTTTGATTTTCTATGCAGGAAAGGGCGAAAAAAAAAAAGTCTGGTCTTTTAAATGGGACGGACTGCGTATGCTACAGATCCCAAGGAATTTGAACATGATGGCTTTATTGATATCTGAATTGTATTTGTATTTTGATACTCTGATAAGATAACCACATTCTATTTAATAGTACAGTCACCCTAATGTTTGATCTATTTTCTTATCAGCATTAAAAAGAATTGGAAAACATGTGGCGACACATCCATGAGTAGGCGGTTCTTTGAATAAGATGTAATTTGTCATATCTTTATGAAAATATCTAGCTTAAATTCTGTCAAAGTTGCTATAAATCATCCTATTAACGGAACTGCTACTCAAAATATGTTAAGATTAAAGCAAAAGTTCTATGTGATATTAGCACGTGTAAGTTATCACCTTCTTTATAAGTTGATTATTGACCATCCTTTTTCGAGATAAGATTAAGAAAGTAGCTCAAACATTAAGTTGATTGTCCTGTCTGATAAGTTAGTACCTGTTATCTCATTGGGATGGTATGAATTTGCATCTTATTTATAATGAGAATATGTATATTGACATGTCTATGATAATGGGAAGATGTGTATCAACATAACAATGATAATGGAAGATGTATAATGACATACCTATGATAATGGGAAGATGTGTATGAGAACATATGTATTGACATACCACTGATAATGGGAAGATGTAGGCCTTTACTGACATATCTATGACAATGGGAAGACGTAGGCCTATAATGACATATTTATGACAATGGGAAGATGTGTATCGACATAACAATGATAATAATGAGAACATGTGTATTGACATACCACTGATAATGGGAAGATGTAGGCCTATAATGACATATCTATGACAATGGGAAGATGTGTATCAACATAACAATGATAATAATGAGAACATGTGTATTGACATATCTATGACAATGGGAAGATGTAGGCCTATAATGACATATCTATGACAATGGGAAGATGTGTATCAACATAACAATGATAATAATGAGAACATGTGTATTGACATATCTATGACAATGGGAAGATGTAGGCCTATAATGACATATCTATGACAATGGGAAGATGTGTATCAACATAACAATGATAATGACAAGATGTATATTGACATAACATTGATAATGGGATTAAAATATAGCAAATCATCGAAATTAAGAAACTTGATATTGTAAAATATTTTCATTAAAACTACAGTGTATACGAAAGTGTTGTAATAACTTTCAAGTAATGTGAGCCAGCCTTCATAATATCGAGTTTATAATTAGGTGAAATTCAGATCATGATACTATGACAAAGATAGAACCCTTGAAAAACCATAATCATTCCGACATGTTCAACTTCTAATAGAAAAAGATGGAACTAGTGGATAATTATTTGTTTTTCAATCAATAATAATTTCTCTCTTAAACAGTGTTTGTTTTTACTGATTACTACACCTCTATTCTACATCAGATTTCTTCTTGGAGACAAAATCAATCCTTTGACAGCTGTTTTCCTTGTCACTTTGACCCATTCCTACCGATTATAGGTTCTCTCGGTAGTTGTATAGATTATAGCCTTGCTCTTCAGAGCTTCAAAGTGTTGTCATACTCATTAACGTCTTGTCACATATTTTGGTAGAAGATAATGAGGTCTGAATTTGATTGTTGTTCAATTCTAAGATCCACTGTGTTTTCAAGGATCTATTCTAGCATTTTTATCCAAATCATCATAGCTTTACAAACTGTAATTTAGTCATTTATTATGAACCCCCATAAAACAATTGTTTGCACCCTAGTTTGTACCCACACTTCATTTCTAAGAAATTTGACAACTTGGATATAATAAGTTGTTTATAAATATATGTAGGAATGCACCAAACCAATTCTGTTTTTTTTTTAATTTTCAAGAGGAGAACCCCCCTCAGATTCTCTATTGAAAGCTTGTACCAAGCTGTCTTAATTAGAATTCAACCTTAACAGTTGTCCCACCATTAAAGTTTGGTTCTCTTATTTTCATTTATTTATATACCGGTATAGGCTATTCCAGTATTGGGCGGCTAATACTTATTTAATCGAAAGCAGAGGTGTTCTAATGATTGGGAAAAATACCAGTTTGTCTTAGAAGTCAATAATTAACTTGTAATTAGCTAATGATTGAGCAGTCACTGAATAAAGATTATCAGGTCTCACCATTTCCATAAGGGAAGTAACTCTATGTGTGCCTTTTCACAGCCAATCATTACCAAAGCATCCAAATACCAACCAAAAATTTGTCAATGGTTATGTTTCCAAAATAGGGAAAATGACAACGTTTTCTTATTTTCTAAATACACAGGGTATTTAATTACAATATTTCTAACTTAGAAATATGTCTTTTAAACATGGTTTAACTAATAATATTTTATATGAAAATGTGGCTAGATTTAATCAGTCAGTGAGTAAACAAGAAATCTTTTTTTAGCTTTTTCAATCGGATTTCAGTAAATTTGATCCCCAAGCTTTTCTAGATCCTCGTACAACCTTAGCACTCAAGAATACTTGATTTATTCATTTAAAACATCAATTAATCAAACAATAAGCATGATTTGACCAAGAAAAATGAGCAAGGCAAATTCAAGTCAGTCTGCCCCCTGGTGGCTGGCCACTGCTTGAGGGCAAGTAAGATATTTGATATTTTCATAAGCAGATGACTGCTGGTGGTCAAGAATGATCATTCATCTATCTATTAACTCTTCAGTCTAGAAACCAGTAATTCTAACTCAGCATCCCTTTCGAAATTCACACTCTTCTTATTTATTTCAAGAATCATTTAACTTTCTGCACTTACAAATATTATTGTTATTTTAACTCCAATATGCAAGTTAGCTATGTTTATTTTCAGATGTATTTGTGAATGATATACAACAGTATAGTGTATACCAAAGCTGTAATACGCATACAATCTATATTCATTTGATGTATATATTTCGGTCGGTAATTGTATTTACCACATAAAACAATAGTCGATCGGTTGATATCTTAACTGGCTCAGAGTTCAAGAGTTTTTAATAAGCAGAATTAATGGATTACATTCGTTTGAAATATTAGCTTTACTGACTGAGCTCAATTTAAGCTATCATAACAGATAAGATTTTAACAAGACTTCATATCACAAACGTAAGACAGTTTTAATGGAATGAAACAAGCTTTTCAATAGAAATTAGGCATATATCATTAACACATCTGTTTACAGATCCCCTTTGATTGAAATAAAACCATCATCATCCTGATATCGTCATTGATATTACTGTACATTATGCAAGTTAACAAAATTTACCAATAGAAGGTTGAACCACAAGCTGTGTCCTGTCATTCAATTTTTCTTCTAATCCATTAGTATAGACTAATAAGTATAGACTTAGTTTACAAAACCAGCCGGTGTCATGGTCATTAGCTCAATATGTCAGAAATGTCACTTTTGGTGTAAAAGTTAATTGTAATAGACTTAAAGCTAACACGAAATAAAGTTAATTGTAATAGACTTAAAGTTAACACGAAATAAAGTTAATTGTAATAGACTTAAAGCTAACATGAAATAAAGTTAATTGTTATAGATTTAAAGCTAACATAAATGGACTTAAAGCTAACTTGAAGTAAAGTTAATTGTAATAGATTTAAAGCTAACATAAATGGACTTAAAGCTAACTTGAAGTAAAGTTAATTGTAATAGATTTAAAGCTTACATAAATGGACTTAAAGCTAAAATGAAGTAAAGTTAATTGTAATAGACTTAAAGCTAACATGAAATTACAAATATTTATGTATAAAACAAAAAAATGGTTATGAAAACATTGATTTGCATCATTCCAATTTTCAGTGAGACGTCTGTGGTTCTTGCCATCCCAAGAAAACAGACATATTGATGTTGTAGAGGACCTTAGATATTTTGAAGCAGCGATGTCTTAATTCTTATTAAGCATTTCTGAAAATACAGGAAACACAGGGAATAGAATGATGCAAATGGAAGACAACCCTTTAAAATATTGTGTAAACAAACACCCTATTTACTTGACTACATTTATTTCATAGATTATTGGAAATCAATGAATGTTTGCTAGTATTAAAGTTACATCAATATATTTTTTAGAACAATTTGAAGACACTTGAAAAACCAATATAGCACCTTTTTTTATGAAAATTTGAGTGCAATTTTTCAGCTTTCTGTGACAACAACATGAGGTCTAGCTTTGTTTCTTTAAGATATTATATTGATCAGTTGGTACAGGTACCAGGTGTTACTTCACATGCTGTAGATTGATCTAATATTCTTAAGGCTTATGGTATATGACCTAAAAAATAACAGACCAGTTTGCATAATATGTACCATATGCTACATGTACTTTAAGTCTCTTGAAGGGATGTAGCCACTTATTATGGCTGGTCTCATACTGTTAATAATACCTATTATTAGAAGTGATGACTATCTGACCTCCCATGGTGGAGTTTTATTGAATTTGAGGAGAATTGGACATTGGAGTTCAATTCTGAAATTGAGCTGTGCCTGTCTTTGAAATGAATTATAAGACACTTGAGCCCCTTTTACAACAGGTGGCTATAAATGATTCATTCTGATCTGAAACAGTTCACAATAAAATGTAACCATTTGTAACTTGTAAATCAAGTATGTGATTGTTTATCTGTGGAACTCTTCTTGAAGAAGATGAATTTAGTCCTAGTAAGCATTGAATATTGATTAAATTCCACAGGAAAAGTGAAGGTTGCTTCATGGGCATGCTCAGTAACGAGATTTATGGAGTAAGTTCTCAGAAGTTTTGACAAATCCAATTGCCTGCTGCGGATTTGAGCTCTGGCTTTGAGCGTCTCTGTACCTTTTGTGCATCATGGGAGATCAATAATTTTTGTTTGGGTCATCACAAAAGATTAGATTTCATAAAATATATGTTGGTAACATTGAAAGGTTGACAAGCTTTCCTGTTTATTTTCAAATTCTTTAGACCTTGTTTTGTAGTGAATGGGAAATGCTGACCGTAGGTTAAACCTATCATGTTATTTTGGCCTTGAATTTGGATATGTTTATTACTGAAATAATAGACATTGTTTCCTGTTCTGACTGGGAAGGCAAAGGTGGGTGGGAATTAGTCAACTGATGAACAATTAATAGCTTTACTTATCACATAAATCTGTTTTGTGTTGTCTAAATAATGAAAGGACAAGTATATTCATTCCCAAAATTGTCATTGTTTGAATTTTAGCCTTTTTTTGGCAGTAATTGAAATATCGCATCCAAATGAGATCAAGGTCATGTATTCTTTAGAGCATAGATCTGTTATTGATGAGCAGGCGTGATTACAAATTTGTAACCCTGTGATTCTGCTTTTCAATTTGAATTTAAAGGCTATACATTTTAAAAATGAATTGAATGGAATTTTATTTCCAACTGTCGAGGGATCTTTGACATGCATTATTGTGCAAGCCTGTAGCACACAAGGCCTCTGTTTATTGTCCTAACTAAACGACTAGCTCAAACAGAAGTCATTATAGTGCATATTTTCTGAAAATAAAATAGCTGGAAATCAATAAATTATAGTCACCAATAAACATGATTGTGTATGCAGATTAAGAAAGCTATCTTATAGATATGTGTTTGCATGTCTGAAAATCTTAACCTTTCAAAAACAGATTCAGGTTAGCGAGCAACATCTAACTCACTGAGCCACCGTGGCTCCTAGAGACGATAAATAGACTGTCTCCATGTTTTATATTGATTTCATGTTAAATTATCAAATGGAACCATTGTTTGTGTAAAAGACATGTTTTTTTTTTCTCAGGGCAATGTTGTGATTGGTGCTTAAGTGGTCAATTTAGCATAATTATGTCT